AAGTGGCACTGTGGCTCAAGTGGTAGAGCGCTAGCCTTGAGCTGAAGAGCTGAGGGACAGTGCCCAGGCCCAGAGTTCAGGTCCCACAACCAACAACAACAACAAAAAAGAGTCAATGCTAGTCTGAAGCAGAGTGATGTAATTAAACATTAATTCTAGAAGTGAGGAGAAAGCGATTGAAGGGCAGGTCAAAATAAAGAAGCTTAGTGTTGGGACTTGTTTTGAAAATAAAGTATCTTGAAATAAAAAAAAATAATCAACATTAACTTACCACAGTCACCCACCCTAAAACTGTCAGAAAGTGGCCTGATGTACTCTTCTTTACCCCAGCATGCTGCATTTACAAAACAGGCTGGTGAATCACGAATGGTGAAACTGAAAGTGTATCTTTCGGATCCAATATCTAAGGGAAGACCAATGCTTTTATTTTTTGGATGAGGTTTTATTTTAACTCTGAACAAATGATTTGTTTAATCACATGATTTTTGATGATCATTATGATTATAAAAATAGTTAAATGCATAGCAGAAAGTTCTATTTCTTTCCTTTTTTGGGGGGGTGTGGTCATGAGGCCTGAACTCTGGGCCTGGGCGCTGTCCCTCAGCTCTTCAGCTCAAGGATAGTGCTCTACCACTTGAGCCACAGTGCCACTTCCGCTTTTCTGCTTATGTGGTGCTAAAGAATGAAACCCAGGGTGTCATGCATCAAGGCAAACACTACCACTGAGCCACCTTCCCAGCCCCAGAAAGTGTTATTTCTTATGATCTCTTTCTCCTTCTTCTTCCCCCTTCTCTCTTTGTCACTAATTCTCTGTCTCAGCCATACTGGACAGGGCCCCCACCTTGCTAGGCAGGGGCTCTACCTCTGGAGGCAGACTCATAGCCCTTTCTGGCTTTAGTTATTTTTCAGATAGGTTTTTGCATGTTTGCCCAGGATTCAGTGGTAGAGTAACAGCTTAAGAAAAACACAAAAAAGCCCAAGTGAGAGCATGAGGCCCCAAGTTCAAGTCCCACTACTGGACAAAAAAGAAAACAAACTGGGTGCTGGTGGTTCACACCTGTAATCTTAGCTACTCAGGGGGCAGAGATCTGAGGATTGCAGTTTAAAGCCAGCCTAGGCAGGAAAGTCCATGAGACTGTTATCTCCAATAAACTACTCAGAAAAAAGTTGGAAGTAGTACTGTGGCTCAAGTGGTGAATGCTAGCTTTGAACACAAAGAGGCTCAGGGACAACACCTAGACCCTGAGTTCCAGCCCAGAACAGGAAAAAAAATTATAAAAATTAAAAAAGGGCTGGGAGTATGGCTTATTGGTAGAGTGCTTGCCTAGTATGCATGAAGTCCTGGGTTCAACTCCTCAGTACTATATAAACAGAAAAAGCTGGAAGTGACACTGTGGCTCAAGAGGTAGAGCACTAGCCTTGAGCACAAACAAACTCAGGGACAGATCTCAGGCCCTGCCTGAGTTCAAGCCCCCAGACTGGCAAAAAATAAACAATTTTAAAAAAGCAAAAGCAAAACCGGGCACTTGTGGCTCACACCTGCAATCCTAGCTATTCAGGAGGCTGAGATCTAAGGATCACAGTTCAAAGCCAGCCCAGGCAGAAAAGTATGTGAGACTCTTATCTCCAATAAACCACTAGAAAACTGGAAGTGGCACTGCGGCTCAAGTGGTAGAGTGCTCACCTTGAGCTGAAGAGCGCAGGGACAGCTCCCAAGCCCAGAGTTTAAGCCCCACAACCAACAAAAACAATAAAAATATGATCTATGATCTATCTTCATCCTCATGTATGCGTCTTACCATACACAATAACATGATCTTTGCTCTTAGGAGATTGAGCAGGCATGGGAAATGTAATCAGTTAAATACACTTTGCTACAGACATAAGCCACACTTGATGAAAAATGAGGCAAAGCGTTAAATAGAACTCAGCTTTTTCTGTCTGGAAAGCCTTTGACATCCGTTTTTCCAATAACTATACCGATTATTTTCTGAAAAACAAAAGAGTATAGAAGACCAATATTAAACACAGATGTAGATGGTAAATTTAATTTCATGGGATTGTTATATTTTACTGGTTCTAACAAACATTTTTTGTCTAGGAGCCATTTAAATGTTTTTAATCCAGACAAACATGTAAAAGAATTCCATAAATGCTCAACTCTACGAAGAATAGTACAAAATAACAAGACAGCTGTTATAACTATAGTTGTTTGATAGTTGGCATGTTTCTAGTTTATTTTCTTTTAAAAAAATTTTTTTACTGTAAAGATGATATACAGACGGGTTACACTGACATGAGTAAGGTAATGAGTACATTTCTTGTCAAGCATTGTTAACTCCCTCCTTTGTTTTTCTCCTACTATCCCTTCCTTCCCCCGTCTAGTTTATTTTCAGTCACTAGGTGGCGCACACTAACTGCCCTATGCTGTAGCTGTAGATCCTTACTGAATTTTTTTTTTTTGTCTGTTGTGGGACTTGAACTCTGGGCTTGAGCACTGTCCTTGCGCTCTTCAGTTCAAGGCAAGCACTCTACCGCTTGAGCCACAGTACCACTTCAAGTTTTCTAGTGGTTTATTGGAGATAAGAGTCTCATGGACTTTCCTGCCCGGGCTGGCTTTGAACCGAGATCCTCAGATCTTAGCCTCCTGAGTAGCTAGGATTACAGGTCTGAGCAACCGGCACCCAGCATTACTGAATTCTTCTAGAGCACATGTATAATGCAATTTCATTTGCTATGGTAGTCAAAGCTTTCCCTTGTATGGGTCTGCTAACATGAAATTGTTTAGCTTCTTAATCCAAACATGCTGGCATGCTGGACAGTAACATAAATTAGACTGTATATATATATATGTATATATATATATATATACATACATACACATAGAGAGAGAAAGAGAGAGAGAAGACTGTATATATATATAGAGAGAGAAAGAGACTGTATGTATGCATACATACATACACACACACAGACAGACAGAGCTGCTAATAAATTTAAATTCTAAAGTCTTGGATCTTCTGGGCTGGAAAGGTGGCTCAGTGGTAGAGTGCTTGCTTTGCATTAATGAGGCCCTGGGTTCGATTCCTCAGCACCACATAAGCAGAAAAAGAAGTGGCGCTGTGGCTCACGTGACAGAGCTCACTAGCCTTGAGCTACAGAGCTGAGAGACAGCACCCATGCTGAGAGTTCAGGCCCCACAACCGGCAAAAAAAAAAGTCTTGGATATTCCATTTCAACTTCCTTAAAAGTTGTCATGTTAGCTGGTGCCTGTAATCCTAGCTACTTAGGAGGCTGAGATCTGAAGATCATGGTTCAGAGCCAGTCCAGGTAGGAAAGTCCATAGACTCTTATCTCCAATAAACCACTAAGAAAACCAGAAGTGGCGCTGTGGCTCAAGTGGTAGAGTGCTTACCTTGAGAGTTCAGGCCCCATGACCTACCAAAAAAAAACAGTTGTAATGTCCCATTTAGTAACTATCAAAACAAAAACTGTAATTTTGAAATGTGTTTTAAGAAATAAAAATAAAGCTGGGTGCTGGTGGCTCACGCCTGTAATCCTAGCTACTCAGGAAGTTGAGATTTGAGGATCACAGTTCAAAGCCAGCCCGGGCAGGAAAAGTCCATGAGACTTTTTTTTTTGGGTCCGGTCATGGGGCCTGAACTCTGAGCCTGGGCGCTGTCCCTGAGCTCTTCAGCTCAAGGCTAGTGCTCTGTCCTGTGAGCCACAGCACAACTTCCGGCTTTTTTCTTTTATGCTTATGTGGTGCTGAAGAATCCAACCCAGGGCCTCAAGCATGCAAGGCAAGTCCTCTACCACTGAGCCACCTTCCCAGCCCCTCCATGAGACTCTTAGCTCCAATAAACCGCCAGAAAATGGGAATTGGTTCTGTAGCACAAGTGGTAGACCACCTGCCTTGAGCTGAAGAGCTGAGGGACAGCATTCAGGCCCAGAGTTAAAACCCCATGAAAGAGAGAGAGAGAAAGAAAGAAAGAGAGAAAGAGAAAGAAAGAAAAAGAGAGAAAAAGAGAAAGAAAGAAAGAGAAAGAGAGAAAGAAAGAAAGGAAGGAAGGAAGGAAGGAAGAAAAGAAGGGAGGGAGGGAGAGAGAGAAAGAGAGAGAGAGAGAGGGAGGGAGAGACAGAGGGAGGAAGGAAGGAAGGAAGGAAGGAAAGAAGGAAGGAAGGAAAGGAAGAGCCATGCACCAGTGGCTCATGCTATAATCCTAGTTACTCAGGAAGCTGAGATCTGAGGATCTCAGTTCAAAGCCAGCCCAGGCAGAAAAGTCCATAACATTCTTATCTCCAGTTGGTTAACCGGCAATAACTAGATAACTAGAAACCCAGAGTGGGGTTGTGGCTCAAAGTAATAGAGTGCTAGCCTTGAACAAAAATTGCTCAGATACTGCCCAGGCCCTGAGTTCAAGCCCCACAAGCAACAAAAAATGAAAAAATAAATAAAAATAGTTATCTTCTTTCAAAGGGAAAAACTAAAATGACTAACTCTAGACCTTGATTTTAACCTTGCAATAATCAGTGACATTAAAAATACAATGAAAAGCCGGGCGCTGGTGGCTCACACCTGTCATCCTAGCTACTCAGGAGGCTGAGATCTGAGGATCACAGTTCAAAGCCAGCCCGGGCAGGAAAGACCATGAGACTCCTATCTCCAATAAACCACCAGAAAACTGGAAGTGGCGCTGTAGCTCAAGTGGTAGAGCGCTCGCCTTGAGCTGAAGAGCTGAAGGACAGTGCCCAGGCCCAGAGTTCAAGCCCCACGACCGACAAAAAAAAAAAAAAATACAATGAAGTTTATTCTAGCTAAGTTCTTAGCTCCTCTTCCTGCATTGTGGACACATTGATACTATTTCTTTTTTTTTTTTTTTTGTCGGTTGTGGGCCTGAACTCAGGGTGTGGGCACTGTCTCTCAGCTCTTCAGCTCAAGGCTAGTGCTCTACTATCTGAGCCACAGCGGCACTTCCAGCTTTTTCTGCTTATGTGGTGCTGAGGAATTGAACCCAGGGCCTCATGCATGCAAGACAAGCGCTCTACCACTGAGCCACCTTCCCAGCTCCCATTGATACTATTTCTTACACACATTTACTAAAATGATCCCTTTGTTAAATATCAAAATAACACAAAAGTCTTTTGATTATTTTGAACCATTGCTAACCATATCTACAATGATGTCTTCTGCTCTATAGACAGAATATTAATTTTTATTTCAATAACATAATACAAACAGGTTTAGGGATGCTTAATATCTATAATTATATTAATGAATAATCTGCATGCTTATCAATTTTATAAGAATGTATCCAATAAATTTGCTACACTGAATGCTACCAGATTTCACTTTTCATGAGAATAATCAAACCAGTTTTGAAACCAGAATTGAAACTTACCAGATTAGCCATATTTTGCTGCAGATCTGCAAGTGCAGTAAAGGTCCTCAAAGCAAAGGAACTTGCCATATTCAATCTGCATGTTAGAAAATACAATTTAGACATATAAATTAAATATCTGAAATAATCATGAAAATTCCAAATATTAAAAATAATTTTAAAACCTATATGATTTAATCAGACCTACAATCCAAGTATTTTTATAAAAACAGAGGTGAGTGTGGCAGGAAGGTGTGACTAAGGTAGGTGTCTGTGTGGCTTACCAGTTAGGAATGAGACAATGTGAGGAGAAATACTGATCCATTGAAAGAAAGCATTGGATACTTGTACTTTGGGGAAAAAATTATTATAATGATGAAATAAATATTCATTCAGGTAGTCTTTTTTGGTGGTGCTGGTATCGGGTTTGAACTCAGGGCCTCATGCTTACTAGACAAGAGCTTGCCCCCTAGAGTTCCTCACATTTTTACCCTTAAGCATCTCTTGGTGATTTGGTCAGTAACTGACATATGACCTCTTTGAGATTTTTTTTTTTTTTTTTACTTTGTCTATCCTGGGACTTGAACTCTGGGCCTGGGCGCTGTCCCTCAGCTCTTCAGCTCAAGGTGAACGCTCTACTACTTGAACCACAGCACCACTTCCAGTTTTCTGGTGGTTTATTGGAGATCAGAGTCTCACAGACTTTTCTTCCCAGGCTGGCTTTGAACCGTGATGCTGAGATCTCAGCCTCCTGAGTAGCTAGGTTCACAGGCGTGAGCCACCTGCGTGCGGCTTCTTTGAGATTCTTTCACTTTCCACAATCATTTAAAGGATATGGCAGAGTGCAGGGACCTCACTCTCCGTGCTTGCCCAGGCCCGTTGAACGCTGTGACAGCCCCTCTTCCTTGATGCCCTCCACTCTCCGTGACACCTTCCACCTCTCCCGTTTGGGAGAGGGTCCTCCACACTCCTCAGGGGTCCAGGAGAGGCTTTTCCTGTGGCCCACCTCCACTATCCCCCACTCTCAGCAGTCTGCTGTGGTGGTGGTGGTGGAGGTGGTTATTGTTATCAGCTGCGGAGCTTGAACTCAGGACCCGCCCCTGAGCTCTTCCCCGGAGTTTTTGCCCTCAAGGCTAGCGCTCTACCATGGCTCCCCTCAGGTTTTTCCAGTGGTTAACAGGAGATCAGAGTATCAGGGTGGCCGGGAAGGTGGCTCCGTGGTAGAGCGCTGGCCTAGCACGCATGAGGCCCCGGGTTCGATTCCTCAGCACCAGCAAGAAGTGGCGCCGTGGCAGAGCGCTCGCCTTGAGCCACAGCAGCTCAGGGGCAGCGCCCGCCCGGGCCGCGAGTTCAAGCCCCAGGACTGGCCGAAGAAAGGAAGAAATGTCTCACGGGTTCTTCTGTCCCGGCTGGCTTCAAACCGCGATCCTCGGCTCTCAGCCTCCCGAGTATCTACAGAGAAGGACAGGCGTCAGCCGCGGACGCGGGGCTGTGGAAGATTCTAGAGCCGGGACCTAAGCCCAGACTTGTCTTTTCCATTCTGGCTCAGTTCACCCTTCTCGCGGGGTTTGGGTGATTCCGGGGGACGGGGTCACGGGCGGTACGGGTGTCGGCGACCTCGAGGCCCCGTCAGACCCCCCCATCCCGTGAGCGGGGCGGCCGCGTGGGGCCTGCGCACGCGCGG